CTCCAGGATGAGAAATGGAGTCATGTTTATTACCCACATTAAAATTTTTATTTTTTAAATATGTTTTTATTGATTTTTAAGAGAGAGAGGAAGGGAGAGAGAAACATCAGTCAGCTGCCTCCTGCATGCTCCCTACTGGGGATTGAGTCTGCAACCTGGGCATGTGCCTTGACTGGGAATCAAACTGGGACCTCTCAGTTCATGGGACAATGCTCAACCCACTGAGCCACACCCACTGGGCCACATGAAAAACTTAAAAAAATTAAAGGCATCCCAGGAAGACATAGCAAACCTAAAGAAATCTGCAAATTCTTTTAAACTTTCAGAAAACAAGCAATTTTCATGTCATATCAATTGTTCCAGAAACAGAAATATGTTATTGTGCATATTCTATGATAGTAAATCACTAATAGTAAATCTTGATTATCAAGAAAGCAAACTGTAGCTCAATATCATTTATGACTCTAAGATGAACACTGATTACAATAGTAGAAAATATAAATCTGTAACATACTGATACAAAAATCTGCAATGATCAAGTGTGGTTTCCACAGAATATAAGAATAATTCAATATATGGGAATTTATGCACATAATACACTATACTTGCGGGATAAATAAAAAAGGAAAATGATGATAATCTCATTAGAGTCTGAGAATTCAGTACCTAATCCTAATAAAAATACATTAATATAGAAATAAAACATACTGCCTTATGAGAAAGAGTGCTTTTTGTAAACCAACTGCCAGCAGTAAAATGCTGGAGTCAATTCCATAAAATTAAATAATTTAAGAATTCAAGCTAGTAAGGCATGGAACCAAAGTAAGAAAACTAAGAATTGAAAGAAAACAGGACAGAAAAACCAACATTACATATTCATGAGTTATTCATTCAATCACTATTGCAATTAGTAAGAATTCAGTGAAGCACAGAGGAATATTAAAAATGAAAACGATTTCTGTCGAGTAACCAAACAAGCTAGAAAACACAATAGTAAAAGATAGTAGGAAATAATGTCAGCAGGAAATGTGAAGAAGTGACAAATCATACTTGAAAAGAAAAGATGGAGTCCCTGAGCAGCTGTATCGCATCGCTGGGTAGGAAGGAAGGCAGCAGACCTTGGATTTAATGAGGATCTCTCCTGAGACCTTCTCAAAGGCACATATTTGTCAACAGTGTAACAGCAAATAACTTCTTCAAGTTTAGCTAGAAATGCTAGCAGCTCCCCAGAAGCCAGAAAGCAGAGGCTGAGGTGAGAGCCAGTCCCTCGCCCGGTCGCTGGCCAGAGTGGAGACAGCGACCGGGACAGGGTCAGTGCCATTATATGAAGGACTCACACGGTGACAAAACCATGAAGACCCCAGTGTGTCACAGCAAGGGAGTGTTTCAATCAACATGAAGGCAGGTTCCGTCTTGATGAAAGAGCAGAGTCATCAAAAATAATCGTATGAGAACGTGGACAATATGGACAATACTTGTCTTATACTATTACATTTTAAAGCAACAGACGGTGATAGCACGTGATAAAAGCCATGTGAACAAGAACATGCATTTGAAAAATAACTCGAGGTAAATGAATAAAATCAACAGTACTGAGGGTAATTTTTGTCAAATCAGACTGAAAACATATTTAAAGTGACTTTCGAGCAACAAAAACAGCTGCAGCATAAGAGTCTCTAAAAGAGGGTAACTATGCATCTGCGGAGAGGAGGGGAAATAATTTTCCCCCTACCCTTTTGAGTTCTTATCTGAGACCCCTGAATAAAGGACAGAATAACCAGAGACAAAGAAAAGTTCATTAACACATACTTCTCATGTACAAATAAGGTGGCTTAGAATCCAGTCTTACATACCATTGTAATGGACAAAGAGGAGGGGATGCCGGCCTCTTAGGGGAGTAAATAATTGCTTTAGGAAAGATGAATGGACCCTGAAAGAGCAGAGGGGCGGTAGGATCATTTCTGACAAAGTGTGTTTGGGTGTGGTGTCGACTTCTGGTCTCCTCCCCTGTGACAAGCGTAGACCTTCCCTGGTTGACGAAACTCTGGGAAGAGGACCTATCAGCTGAGCCCCTTTTGCAGGCCCTGTTTTTAGGCAGACGAGGGGAATTCAGAGAAAGCCTCCCTGCATTGCTGTTTTTCAGATGCTCAAAATAATCAATACAGCAAAGTGGCGTCTTTGGGGTGGCATATTCCACTACCTGGTTAAACAAATAACTAAGCAGCCAATGAACTCCTCGTCTGCAGGGAGGCTTGAGCAGAGATGGGACAATCCCGCCGGGACTGTGGACTATAGCGGCTGGACAGACTGAGCGCCCAGTGCTGGTGGAGTTCTTAAATGAGCATCTGCACGAGTCATGCGACCTGGAGTTTCCTGCCCTTTCAGGACAGACATAAGCCATTCTCCCTAGCCACATCCCTGGCCCAACTCCCTCCACTGTTCCCCATCCCTCCCCCACAATTTAGATTCCTCCCCACAGCTCCCGTTAACCCCGAGATAACTCAAAACATCATCCTTCCTGTTGGCTGCTGACCTTGTCTAAGTCAGGTCGCTTCCAGTGTGCCTGCCCACGTGTTTATCTGCCCTCCTCTGGTGAAGGCACAGAGATGGTGTTTCCTTTCTCGGTGGTGAGGTACAACAGAGGCTCTGGGAAGCTGGAGTCCTAGGTTCTGTCAATCGATGGCTGTCAGCACCAATTCAGCACCAACAGGAACCCTCAATCTTGGGGTGCAGTGTAGAAGGACACTTCATTCTGTGCAAAACCGCTCAATTGCACAGCTGTGAGGCAGCCCTGGCTGGGGCCAGGCTCCTCTCGGGCTAGACATCTTTCCCCGCTCTGTGTCAGGCTGCCCGTGCTGTGCTGGTCTGCTCTGTGCTCACGGTCTGCTCAGTTCTGTGCCAGTCCGCTCTGGCCCGCACTGGGCAACGGCAGTGTCTCAGCTCAGCTGGGAAATCGGTGGAGAGGGACAATACACTCCCGGAGTTGGGGGAGGTATCTGGCTTATATAAACAGAAGTCCCGCCTCTGGTCCCTGATTGGTCTGTTCCCATGCAAATAAGGACTCCAAATCCTTGCAGTTTGATTGGTCCAAAAGCACCAATTGACTGTTCTGATTGGTCAAAATAGAGCTGCTGTCATTGGTCAGAGCTGCACAGCGCCCATTGGATGGGGAAAGCCTCAGTCCTGGTGGAAATAGGATTCCAGGAACTCCTCTGAGAGGGCGGCTCAGGCCCAGAGATGGGGGGGGGGGGGGGGCTCCAGCAGGCCCTCAGGCAGGCTTCTCCCTGACTGCAGTTTGAGCTAGAGGCCCCCGTGTAGGAATGGCTGTTAAACTGTTTTGTTTTTGTTTTTAATTTGGACCCACTTACTCACCAGGGGCCTGTCTTAGTAGGTGTCTTCTCTTTCAGAGTCCACAGTTCTGTCCCTAATTCCATCTCTAGCCGGCTTGTAATCCAGGTTGTAAATCCCCCCGCCCTTGGGGCCAGCTTTCTCCTGAGAGAGGGGTTGGACTCAGCGATGGTGAAAATGTGGCCAGTTGCCATTACCTTCTGTGCGAGAAGCATCCCGGGCTGGCTGTAGTCTTCCTTCCCAAAGGGCCAGGTGCAGCCTCCAGCTCTCCTCCCAATGGCCTGGACGCTGTTTCCCCTCCAATGGCAGGGGACCGGGCCCCTCTCGGCATCTATGTACCAGGCCATCTTGAGGAGCCCTCCAGGTCTAACATCCCACAGCTCTGACTTAGGTGAGAAGGGGCTGAACTCCTAGGTGTGCCACGACGTCCTTGTTTGAAGGGTGACTTGATGGGGAAGGATGTCAAAGGGCCCTCCTGCTTCCCTGGGGAGGGGTCAGTTGGCTGGGCTACCTGAGGCTGCCGATGGCCTTGCCCGGGGAGCAGAGGGCTCTAAAGCCACTGTCAACAGTTCCTTTGGGGCCTTGGGACTGCTGGGTCTCAGCAGAGGGTTCCCGGGAGCCCTTCCCCACAGACACTCTCCGTATCCCTAACCCATGCCGCGTCCGCGGAGAAGAGGGACAGGAATGAACCTGGGGGCCATGCAAGTCGGATCCTTACGTGTCCCGGGACGTTGCCCACGGCACCCTGCTCAGGCCAGTGGTGTCCACTCTGGAAACCCCACCCCCCTTAGACAGTTCCCTTACCACAGTGACCCTCAAACAGAGCCTGCCGAGCTGGTGCTCCGGGAGCTGGACCAAACTGGTTCCAGGGGGAAATTAAACAGTGGAGGTCTTCTTTCCCCAAATAAGGAAACGTTTGAGTTGAATGGAGAGAATTTTCTCAGTTGTGCACTGTTTCTTCTTCGTCAATTTTTTTTCAGACCAGACACTTCTCCCCTGGCCTGTTAACGCGCGAACCGAGTAGAACCCGCTGTTTCTGCGCACGACCGCCTTCGCCTAGAATCTGCTTCCAGTCCCCAAAACACAGGGGCAGAGCGAGTGACACACAGGAGCCCTCTCCCGTGGGAGGGATATTTGTGTCTCACGGGAAGCCCCCCGATCTTTGCCTTTAGAAATGTAGGTTATTTTACCATTTTTTGAATAAATCTAATACGTACACATGATACAAAACTTAAAAAGAAAAGGGAAACAGTGACAAGTGTCCCTCGAAGCTTTGCCCCCAGCCCCCTGGCTCCTCTCCCCAGAAGCAACCACGGTTTCCAGGCTGATCCCCTTTAAACGGAAAGAGAGGAACCCAGGACCCGCCCTCCACGGGCTCTGCTCCCCTTCCCAGGACAGAGCCCTGCCCTGGCTATGGGGCCCCCACTCCACACGCATGCGCACAGATGTGTTTACTAAGATGAGCTTTGGTGACAAAAGTCAGTTATGCTTTAAGTTGTGTTCGGTTCATCCCATCGGTGTCCACAGCGTCTGGACGCGCAGAGGGGTTGAATCAACTGTGCTCCTGCCAAAAATGCTCGGTCCCGGGGGGCCAGACCCAGGGCGACTCTGATTCCCAGGGCCTCGCTCCCTGAATGTGTTCGGGAACCTAGTCTTCAGCCTCCCCGTGAGCTGCTCCAAAGCTGGAAAAGTGCTCTGGTGCTGCGGCGTCCCCAGGGTGCGGACGGTGAGCTGCCCCACCTCTTGGCAGGAGAACCGAGGCAGCTTGGGGGGTCCAGGCCCTGGGAATCTGCCACGGGAGGAAGGACTTTCTCTTAGACTTCCCGTTGTGGACACACAAGCTGGAAAGACCATCAAAGAACTTAACACCGTCGCAGGCCAAGTGGACACAACCCACGAGACGTTCACCGAGGCCAGCCTGGTAGCCAAGTCCTCAGGTGCTGTGTCCTCCGTCCTGCAGCTCCCGGGTGTGGCCCTGGTACCTGTGACAGCAGGAGGGAGTCTGATGCTCTCAGCAGCTGGCAGGGCCTGGGGGTAGCAGCTGCGGCCACAACCTTCTGACAAATGTCTTAGAAAACAGGAGAATTTGGCCCTGGCTGGTTTGGCTCAGCTGTTAGAGTGTCGACCTGCGGTACAGAGAGACCCGGGTTCGGTTCCCGCTAAGGGCATGTACCTCGGTCGTGCGGGTGGCAGCCACTCGATGTGTCCCTTTCACATCGATGTTTCTCTCTCTCTCTCTTCCTCTCTCTCCCTCCTGCTCTATCTGAACAAAAAATGGAAAAATGGCCCTGGCCGGTTTGGCTCAGCGGCCCGGAGAGACCCGGGTTCGGTTCCCGCTAAGGGCACGTACCTTGGTTGCAATTTGTCCCCAGCCCTGGTTGGGTTGTGTGGGTGGCAACCACTCGATGTGTCGCTTTCACGTCGATGTTTCTCTCTCTCTCTCTCCCTCTCACTCTATCAGAACAAAATATCGAAAAATGTCCTCGGGTGAGGATTAAAAAAAACAAAAACAGGAGAATTCGGCAGCAGGAGACAGAGCCAGAAGACGGGGGGGTGGGGGGGGGCTCTTCCTACATGCTGGGGGCTGAAGGGGGGGAGGGAACCCATCTTTCTGACGCTGGAACTGCAGCGTGTTGTGTTACAAACCGGCTGAAACCCTGAGGAGCCCCAGGAAACGCTGTGCCCCCCAGATGGCCCAGGCCCACCCCAGCTTCCCTGCGAGGCTCAGGAACGTCGTGGCCACAAGCCGGGTGCTCTTCTTGAAGGCCACAGGGGTGCAGAGCCAGGGAGAGCCCCGTTCCGGCCATGACCCGGGGTGCCCGGAGGATGAGTGCAGCTGGGGCTGGCTTCTTACTCGCGCAAGACACGAAAAGCACCCTGCAGACCTGGAGGCTCCGGGAAGAGGGGGCGAGGACGGGATGGCCGAGGGACTGAGGACACTCGCCAAGGAGCTGGGGCAGAGCTGAACCAGCTGTCCCGGCGCTATAGGCTGACCCTCAGAGGCAGGAGGAGCTCACCACTGAACCAGAAGGTAGGAGGAAGGGCAAGGCCGCTGGCCCGGTCTTCAGAATGCTCCCCCAAGGACAAGGCGGGTGCTAGAGGTAGGCGCGTCAAGACGTACACGGTCACAACCGTCTTTTCCAGAGAGGACTTTCCCATTCTCCTCACTGAAACTGGGTCCCTCCCATTATTCCCAGCATCCTGTGCTTTTCTCCCAAAGCTCTGGCCACGTGTTTCTCAATCACACGTTTGTGAGGTGCTGGCCGCGTCTCCCCGCGAGCGCGCCGTCCGGGCCGGCGGGACATGTCCCCAGCATCGCTCAGTGCTGGGCACGCAGCAGGTGCGTCACAAATGTGTGTTGAATGACATGAGCCTGGCATTTCGTGATAAAGGTGACATTTCAAATGAGTTAGGAAAGGATTTTTATTTGAAAATTAGTTTGTCTTCCTAGGCTTTCTTATTCAGAGACATAAACTCTCTATCTGTAAAAAATGACATGAAATGAATACCAGGAAAATGAAGCAAAATTCCAAAATTCATTCTTAACTCTACAGAGGGGGTGGGATGGGACTGGGTGGCAAAGCCACTGCCCGAGACCCCGGAAGGAACACAGAAGACTGAGAGGCTCATTCATTCATTCGTTCATTTGTTCGACAGATTTTAATGATGTGAGGCCTGTGACGGGGCCAGGGGTTGGAGTGTTCCCAACCTTGTTTGCATGCTGAAATCACCTAGGACGCCTCAAACACACAGATGAGTGGGCAGGTCCTACCCCAGGGACTGGGGTCTGCTGGGCGGGGTAGGACCAGACTTTGGAAATGTTCAGAGACCTCCTGGTGACTGTCTGGGACCCACCGCCTTAAGGCAGGGGTGCGTTTTTCCTGTTGCACTGCACCAGTATGCGCTCACCCCTGGGCCGTTTCTAGTCCGTCATAACCAGGGCAGACCGGGGTTAACGATGCGGCGACAGGGTCATGTTCTCAAGGGCCTTGCCCCCGCCTCCCCTGCTGACTTGGAGCACAAGCTTAGGCCAGGTGCCTGCAGGGCCTGGAGGACTTTGTGCGAAAAAGCAGTCTCCACCCTAATGGTACTTGGGGACAAACCCCTGTGGGACAGACCCCAGATAAGCCATTAAGGAGGAGGAGAGGTAAGTGGTATGATGCAAGGAGGACAGGGCCTGTGGGAGCCCTGGACAGGTGCACTCACTCCCAGGGTGGCAGGGGCTGTGCGGGAGGGGAGGGCGCCCGCGGCGAGAGAGCGGTGTCTTCCTTTCTGCTGGGGCACATGCATTCTGGGCTCTGCCCTGCCGGTCTCCCCACTGGTACCGCTGCACACGGCCCGTGTGCATTTCCAGCCGGAGGGCCCATTCGTTAAGTTCTTCAAAGCACAAGTACTATTGAGCACCTCTGTGAACCGGACCCGCGGGGCAGCCGTGCGTCAGAATGACCTCGCTCAGCTCAGCCCGGTCAGTTTCGCCAGGAAGTGACTGACTACTTCCTTTCCCTTCGCCCTCCTCGGGCAGGCCGTCGCCATGAACCTTGGTTTAGCAGAGGCAAATGCAAGTCTTCCGCTACAAAAACCTGGGCTCAGAACACTTCTGCTTGCAAAGGGGCATCCAGAAACGGTGCCAGGGGACCTGCAGCGGATTTGTCATAAGCTCCCGGGACCCCAGAATGCCTGGCCCCAGACCAGATTTACAAGAGATCAGGTTTTCTGTGTGGACATACAGGATTAGATTCCAAGAAGATCCAAATATTCATGTCAGTTTCAACTGAGGCTGAGACACATTTAGAACACATGTATTTTCCCAAATGTATATACTTACATAGCGCAATTATAACTACATGGGAAATCCCTTTGCTTTACAATAAAATATGCTCTGCTCCCCGCCTCCCCCCCTCACCTGGTCCCCAGCCATCTGTCATGCCAGTCACACCACGCACGCGGCCTGTGGTGCTCACGCTTAGATCCGATCACCATCCCTAGTGCCCAGTGCAAGGATAAGGCAGCAGTTTGAGAGGAGCCATTACTGGGAGGAAGTTGTCCCTTTATAGCAGTAGAATTTATCATTGAAAAATGGGACACCATTAAAATGTTCCAACACAGGAGACTGGTTAAATGCAAACTATTCATCCACTTAAGAGGCTATTATGTAGCCATCAAAATGATGTTCACGGGTCAGTAGTTGGATTAACATGAAAAATGTTGTCATATCAAGTTAGGTGAGAAAAGCAGAATGAAAATGATATATACACTTTCTCACCTTTTACCTAACCAGAGGAAACACACCTCTCAACACTGTGTACACACACACACACAGACACAAACATGCATACACACATATACATATACATGCACACACACACAAACACACAGAGACACAAACATGCATACACACAAACACACACATATACACACAAACACACACTTACACACATACACATAAACACATACGTACACACACATGCACAAACACAGGAAATTCAGTGAGGTCACACTGTAGCTATATTTAGAGGGAATTTGGGTTACTTTTCCCTTCTTTCTGCCTTTCTGTACTTTTTCAAGTTTTCTATTATGTGAATTACTGTCTTATAAAATAGAAAAATACATAATACATATTTACATCAAAATTAAATATATATTTTTAAAGATCAATTCACAGTCTGCTGGTCTTAATTAGCCTCTTAAATCACTGGAAGGATTAGAGTCTCCCATCACCGCTGAACGAGCCGCCGTGGAGAAGGTGTTTTCAGGGAAGACCCTGCCCAGGGTGCTAGCAAAGGCTGCCGACCAAGGGAGCTCAGTCTCTTGGGTTCCTTGACTTAATTCCAGTATGTGTGCGTGTGTGCGTGTGTGTTTGTATGTTTGTGTGTATGTGTGTTGGTGTGTTTGTATGTTTGTGTGTTGGTGTGTGTGTTTGTATATCTCTGTGTGTTTGTATGTGCGTGTGTAGGATTCCCCATACCAACAAGCAATTCTGTGACACCAACAAGATGTCTGAGAATTCAGTTAAACTCAGATATTATTCACTCCATGATCCCACAAGTTAAGGGCTCCATCCCATAAGACCACCCCCACTTCAGACACCAATCACAAGTCAGGCTGCCATCTGTGCTTCTGACAGACTGCAAATCAGAGATTTTCACAGCCCCTTCTTGAATGTGATTAATTTGCTAGAAAGGCTCACAGTTCTCAGGAAAACCATTACTCACTAGATGACTGCTTTCTTACAAAGGATATTGAAGGATACGAATCAATAGCCAGATGAAGAGATGCACAGGGTGAGGGGGTTCTGTCCTTGGAGAGCTGGGGCCTGGCACAGCGGCACATGCCAGTGTTCTGGTTCCCCAACGTGGAAGCCCTCTGAACCCTGTCCTTGTTTTATGGAGGCTTCATTATCCAGGCATGACTGACTAAATCAATGACCATTGGTAACTGATTCAACCTATGGCCCCTCTCCCCTCCCTGGAGGTAAGGGGGTGGGATTGACCGTTCCAACCCCAATCACATGGTCAGTCCTCCTGGGGAGCAGCCCCCATCCTTGGTGCTTTGCAAAAGTCACCTCATTGACATGAACCATCCATCCATCCACTCATCCATCCACTCATCCACCCATCCATCCATCCATCCATCCATCCACTCATCCATCCATCCACCCATCCATCCATCCACCCACCCACCCACCCACCCACCTACCCACTCATCCATCCATCCATCCATTCATCCACCCATCCACCCATCCACCCATCCATCCATCCATCTTTCCTTCTATCCATCCATCCATCCATCCATCCATCCATCCATCCATCCATCCACTCACCCATCCATCCATCCATTCATCCACCCATCCACCCATCCACCCATCCACCCATCCATCCATCCATCTTTCCTTCCATCCATCCATCCATCCATCCATCCATCCATCCATCCATCCATCCAGATACTTCAGCACCTACCATGTGAAAGGCACAGTTCTAGGCATTGGGGGTACAGCAGTAGATAAATTCCTGCCTGCACAGGGTTTATATTCTCATGGTGACAGTGAGAGAGACCGACAAGAAACGTAATAAATAAGTACATTATACAGCATCATATACACTAATGGACGTTGGAGAAAAACAAATCTGGGTAGGTAGGCAAGAATGCGATTTAAAGCCGGATCCTCAGGGGAAAAACCCTCTGAGAGGCGCGCATCTGAGCGAAGACACACCGGCAGCAGGGATCCGGCCCGGGCATCTGAAGAGCAGCAGCCAGCGTGGCACAGGTGACAGGCTTGCACCCTCGGGCTGCAGGGAGGCCGCTGTGCCAGGAGCAGGGCAGTGGCCCCGGGAGCACGGAGGGAGGGCAGGAGATGCGCCGAGAGGCAGCAGGAAGCTGGCGGTGCAGGGTCCCACAGGCTACGGGGGGATGTTGGCTTTCACCCTGAGTGAGACGGGAGAATGGGAAGGTTTCGAACAGAGGACTGACATAATCTAGCGTCGGTTTGAACAGCATCACTCTGGCTACTGTGTTGAGAAGAGACTACCAGGGCACAGCTATCACAGGAATACCAGTTCGCAAGTTACTGAAATAATCTTTGGCGGCCCGGATGGTGGCTTGAACCAGCGGTAACAGCAGAGGTGTGAGACGTGGTCCCACCCTGGATGTGTGGAGGTCGAGCCAAGGGGTTTGCTTGTGGGCTGCCCGTGTGGTGGGAGAGAAAAAGAAGAGTCCATTCCAAGCTTCCCAAGCTGGGGAATCCTTGCATACACTCAGATACTCCTTGACCTGTTCCCACCCTTCCAAAAAGGGAGAGTAGTCATTGGTGGTCACTACGCACCAGGAACTCCGCTAACTGCATGACCAACTGTCTCGAGCAACAATGCACGGAGTTATTAGCTGCCCAGCTCTTTGCAGACACGGTGTAAAGTGCTCTACACAGTGTCCATTTCATCCTCCCAGTCCGCTGCTGCTCCACGCTACAGGTGGGAATCGAAGGCCAGAGACGCTCACAGCTCAAGCAACGCCACCAAGGAGCGTAGAGCTGGAATCTGCACGTGTCTGTTTGTAGGCCCGAGGCAGACGCTCTATGTTTGCATAAGTGAGCTGATTCTGGCCTCGCTTACTTTGAAACTTACTTGGAGATTTAACATTTAAAACAATTTTTTTTTCTTTATTGATTTTAGAGAGAGAGAAACATCGAGACAACATCGATTGGCCACCTCCTGCATGCCCCGCACTGGGGATTCAGCCCATAACCTGGGCATGTGCCCTGACTGGGCATCAAACCGGCAATCTCTTGGTGGGTCATCACTCAACCACTGAGCCACACCAGCCAGGTGAGGAGAGTTACTGTTTTTACACGTGAACATGCACACCAAAACTAATAGTCACATTCAGTCTGTACCTGATGGCAGATTTTTTTTCACAAGTACTGATCTAAACTCTTTCAGAGATTTCTGGAGCCTTGTGATGTGTCTACAGCAAGAATCAGCCAATCACAGCCCACGGTCAAATCTGGTCCACCACCTGCTTTTGTAAATAAAGTTTTATTGCAACACAGCCACACCCATTCGTTTATGCATCCTCTCTGATTGTTTTCCTGCTCTAATGGCAGAGAAATTGTGACAGAAAACCCCGAAATATTTACTGTCTGGCACTTCACAGAAAGTTCGCTGAGTCCTGGTTTAAATGTAAGAGAAGCAACATCTGAGCATCTAGAATTCTGGCTTTCGAAATGAGACGCTGGCTGCCATCTGTGAACCAGGAAGTCAATTTCAGAATCCAGGAGGGACCAAGGGGCGACAGTGATGCTGAGAACACTTCACACTGCTCCCTTCTGGTTGCAGGCCAGAGAGCGGCTTCCTGTTGGCCTCAAGAGGCCAGTGTGCAGCTGGGCCTGGAGCTGGGCACCTTTCCCCACCCTCCCCCTCCAGGTCACCCCCCATGTCGACCTGGCTGCTCCTCCTGCAGACCAGCCCTCTCTGCAGCTCTCCCGGGTCCCCCTGGCCCCCTGGGTGAGCAGGACCTCTGCAGCTCCCACCTGTGTGCAGAGGCGAGGCTGGCTTTATTCATCGGTCCCCGTCTCCTCTGTGAAAGGGAGATTGAGAGCTCAAGATGGAGGGAGTGAAGTGAGGTCTATGCGAATACTCTGGACACCATCCCTGGTGTGGGACATACACTCAGCGATGCTCTGCTTGGGGAAGACACAACAGCACACTCAGGATGCACTTTTCCAGGGTCCCCAGTGACGAGTGTGCCCTGGAGTAGGACCCGAAAGCCGGCACCAAAGACAAAGAATCCCAAGCCCCCGGCTCTGGAGAACTTACCCTTCCTCTGGAAAGACCATTCTACGCTCTGGCTTCTCCATCTAGCAGGACATTCAAACACCAACAAGGCAGCCTGTGGACAGGAGAGACTCCTCGGGTCCGTAACTGCCTGCATCTGGCCGCCGGTCCTGTCCTTCCCCTCTGGGCCCGTTGTTCCTACTGGTCACACGGAAGGCTGGACTACTTGACCTTCAAGGCCTGCATCCAACTCCACATCCACACTCTGGTGTAAGGACAGTAGAGGACCTGGGGCCAGGAATGAAGTGCCCTCCCTCCGGTGCACGGCTGATGGCACCCCCCGGCCACCGTGTGCCAGGCTCTGTGCCAGGCCAGGGGCACGGCATGAGCAGATCTGCTTGCTCTTGCCCGGGGTCGACCCAGGCTCCGTTACTTCCCCACACATGACCGAGCCCCATGACCTCTCTGTGCCTCCGTTTCCAGAGGAAATGGGTAGCATAGGGAAGAAGCGGTCAATTTCTATTGGGTGGTTACGGGCATGTTAAGGACGTAAGGCTCCTAACCCAGGTCACTGTCCTGTCACGGGAGCCTGGCATGGTTGCTGGAGTTCCGGGCTCTTCCCCGGGGATTACAATGTTAATAACAATAGTGATACTAATGATGATAAAACATTAACTGAGCAAATACTATATGTCATATACTTCTAAGCATTTGACATATATTAACTTTTAAAATCCTTATCTCAACCCTACGAAGGAGGGGCTGTTAATATCCCCATTTTACAGATGAACATACTGAGGCACGCTAAGCAACTTGCCCAAGGAAGTGGTGGGCCGGATTTCAAATCCAGATAGGTTGGCTCTAGAGCCAGGCTCTTAAACACGTGGAAGACTACTGCCCCCCGGGGGAGGGGCGGGCCATCAGGAAGGGGTGGACTTTGTCAGCACATCCCTCTCCTGTTCTGGGCTCAGGAGCGCCATCTTCGGGGGAGCAGTGGCGCGAGAGCCTCCCCACTCAAGTCAGTGTCTGGCGAGTACATAGGGCTCTGCTGGCAGCAGCGCTGGCCCAGGAGGCCCCCGGTGGCTTCAGGTCTGCGTCTGGCCTGGAGAAAGAGCCGCACAAAGCACGGTCCCGGCCTCCAGGGATTCAAAGGGACGCAGCACAGAGCTGAGAACGGGGGATACAGTCCCCACCAGAGAGCTCGGAGGTGAAGACGTCCTGAGAAGTGGCCCGGGGAAAGCAGGGAGGGGAGGGCGTGGTCCCCCAGGTGTTAGTGTGAGAAGCAAGGGGAAGAGATGGGGGATCGTGTGTACCTACCTTGAGTCTGACCCCATTCTAGGTCCCTGATCTTGGGGATCTCAGTCATCTTCCAGGTCCTGGTGTGAACAAGACGAAAACCTTGCCCTCATGAGCTTGCAGTCCAGTGGGGGTGGCCTGGTTGCGCTCCTCGCTGCTGGTTCTAAGCCTGGAAAGACGGTCTGAGGCCAGCACTGTAAGGCGCCTTCAACGCCCGGCTGCTCACCAACAGCAGCAGGCTTCCCAGAGATGGAGCAGGAGATACTCAGAGAGCTGTGCTCAGGGAGGCGGCCTGCTGTGCTGCACAGATGAACTGGTCACTGACGCTGCGATCCCTGGGCGGGCCCGTTCCCTGCATTTCCTTTTTGGGTCTTTATTTTTTGGAGCAGTTTTAGAGCAAAAGTGAGTGGGAAGTAGAGTTCCCATGTGTCCCCTCCTCCAACCTGCACTAGTGAACCAACACTGAGACATCAAAGTCTGCCTCTTTTTTTTTTCTTTATTAATTTTTAGAGAGAGAGGAAGGGAGAGGGAGAGAGAGAGAAACATCGATGAGAGAGAACATGGACTGGCTGCCTCCTGCATGCCCCGCACTGGGGATTGGCCTACACCCTGGGCAGGTGTCCTGACTGGGAATCACACCGACAACCTCCTGGTGCATGGGTCAACACTCAACCAGAGCCACACCGGCTGGGCCAATGTCTGCTTCTTAAAATGAGCTTTTCCGTTCTCCCTTGGCAGACCTTTGGAAGCCTACAGCCCTTGAGACAACGGCAGGACCCAAAGCTGTTCCGTGTGGCCGTTTCCAGCCGGAGCACGTTAGTACCAGCTCCGGCTTCTCTACACAACGCAGACGCCGGGCGCTCACCAGGTCGCTGAGGCAGACCTCCGGGCATGCAGCCTGGGTTTGTAAATGGTGGCTCTTTGGTTGCGAAATTCCAACGTCTGGCCTAGAACTAGCTCAGAGAGTTTCCAAATTGATGCTTCATTTTCTAACGAGCTTCTGGATGGTGTGTTTCTAATACCGCTTGGCCACATGCTGGCATACTGCCCCCCGAGGCTTCTGCCAGGGCCCATAGTTGCACAGGAGCTCTGCTTCGCGGGGACGACACACACTGGGGTGGGCATGCGTGACCAGACTGTCCCCATTCCTGGGGCCTAGCATTTATCCAGGCCGGACTGTCACCTGGAGAGAGTTCCATTATCAATAACATGGAGTTGACACTTCTGCGTTGGGAGGGACCCCACGGAATGTCTGATCCATCTGAACATCCTACAGATGGGAAGCTGTGGGGCAGAGACTTGACCAAGAGCACACGGTTTGCCACGGCTCAGAAACAGAAGCCTGTGCGGTTCCTTACCATCCAGTCCTGTCTTCAAACCAAAAAGCGCGGCGCTGGTTGCCAGTGCAACAGCCTGGGAGCATGGGGTGAGGGTGCGGTCCAGGGCCCCCACGGAGCTGCCTTTCCGACTATGTTGTGCATAGTCTCGGGGGCTGAGTGTGGGCTCTTCTCAGCATAGCCCAGGCTCTGGCTGCATGTCCCGGGCTCTTTCTGTGGCATTTTCAGTACGGATTACGTGATGGGACCTCCAGCAGGTGCCCCAGCGAGGTGTCCCATGCCAGGCGTGACTCATCCGGTCCTTGGACCCGTGGAAGCTCAGGCCGGTGGGGAAAAGACAGGCACACATTCCCTAACAGTAGGCCAGCTGCTCCGGTCTTGTTTCCCAGTGGTGCCAATAGAGGGCTGCTTGCCACCCACCGACGTTCGTGTGATGAATGGGTGCTGCAGGCCTGGGCTGAGCTTGGGTCAAAGAAAAGCCTCAGCTAGAGTCAGTCAAACAGGAACAATTTTGTGTGGTGGGGATTCAAGTCAACAAAATGAAATGTATACAGAGTACTGTGTGCTGAAGGTGATGCTTTCCAGCTAGGCCGGAGGCCGGGCCCGACAGCCCGAGGCCGAGGTCAGCACGCAGGTGCTACGGTGACATGGGTGCTGGGCACAGGCAGGGGTGCTGGACGCGGGTGCTGAGCAGCGGAGGGCAGGAGGTGGAGGTGACGCCTGAGCCGAGCCCTGAAGACAGGAAGACTCGCTGTGCGTGTGGGGGCTGCAGAGGAGCGGAGGCCAGGGGCTGCGCGCCCGGGAGGAGTCTCCGCCCAGGGCAGAGCACAGAAGCCAGGTGGGGGAGGTGGCCTGAGACCCAGTGTGGCCTCAGTGCTGTCTTAAGGAATTGGGGTTTTAGACGCAGGAAGAGGGAATTTCTCAGGGATTTTGAGGACAGGGCTGATAGGTGGGAGTGTCGAGGTGGATGGACCAGAGGAAGACATGAGCCGAAGGCAGGCTGTTCTTTGTCAGCGACTTGGAGGCTTCCAGCACATCAGGGCCCCTGTTAGTTCCTGTGTCATGGATTCTGGGAGAAGTCATGAGACTGGGGCACCGCACAGCGGGCAGTCCCCCTCAGGGGAGGGTGCGGGATGGATGCCCTACCGCAGCGTCTATGGTGCGTCTATGGTGCGGTGGAGGAACACAGGCTCCACCTTCTCAGCAGGGAGTGAGAAGCTGTTCTTTGTCCTCAAGCTTCCTCGCTGCAGACGCAGCCCCTGAAAAGGCCTGGGGAAGAGCAGTCAGGACCTCCATGGAGGCGTACCCTGCAGATGTGCACCCCAGCACCCCCTTGGGCCCGCCGGCAAGACCGACCGACGTACAGGAAGGAACCCCAACAGGGCTCGGGAGTGTCCGCTGTGATGACCAGGGGTGGATGTGGAAGCAGGCAGGGTGGAAATGGTGTCACTTAAACAACTGAAGTAATTCAACGAGTATTCACTGAACGCTTCCGCGTGCCAGGCACCTGAGAGGCAGCAGCAGACAGGACCAAGCTCGGCCGGCAGGCGCTCAGGCTGTGCAGACAGTGGACCAGCGGGGAGCTCCTCACCCAGGGCCCAGGACCCGCCCGGAGCCCACACAGAAGCACATCACGATGTGACAGTGCTGTTCAGAGACCAGACAGGGCTGGGGTGCGGCTGGGGGACGGCGGGGCAGAGACCTGTGACGGGGACGAGGCTGGACTGCCGGCTGTCCCGGTGCCAGCAGTGGAGGAACGCACTCCCCAACGCGCCGGTGGAAGGTCTCGGAGCCTGGGGCCACTAAGTACACCCCAAAGAAGCCACTTGCTGTCATCACAAGGGGCTGCTTTGGGGTCTAGGAGGGAGAAGCGAGACGGCAGCAGGGGGAACAGGAAGTGGACACAGCAGCAGCAATTTATTCCATAAGTTTGCCGTGGAGGAGGACTTGGGACCTTGAAAAGTTATTTGTTTTAATGTGTTTAACGGGCGCAGGGACTAGGAGAAAAAGGCGAGCCACGCAGGAGGGGTGACAGAGCGAGGTCCCTCGGAAGGAAGACCGCGAGCCTTCCTCAGAAGGTGGGGGGGAGGGGGCTCCAGGAGGCGTGCAGACAGCAGCTCATGGCAGGAGCTCCACGGAACAGGAAGCAGGGCGCCCTGAGCAGTCAGGAGCGGGATGTTTACAGAGAAGGCCAGAGACTTGGGAACTGGGGCAGCAGGGATGGTGGAGAAAGCACAGGTAAGGAAGAAAAGGGCCAGGCAGGGCCCTCGAGGAGCATTTCCCGCAGGCGGCGACCGCAGCCAGGGGAAGGCAGTGACAGAGGTGGGAGGCAGGAGCCCAAGGCTTCAGGAAGGTCGAGCTGGGGGCCTGAGCCCCGGGAGGTCATGGGGGCAGCAGCCAGGAGCCGGCGGGTGAGGCGGCGAAGCGGAGGCTGCAGAAGCAGAAGCACAAGGCAGCTGCTGCAGAGACCGGAGCTCGCGAGCGGAGGCGCCCTGGAGCGAAGTTCCTGCAGCCGGCTGGGGCCTCGCCGACCCCGGCTCCCCGGTTAGCGGGCTGGCACATCCAGGAGGCCCTGCCCTTCGCCGCCTTCTCCATCTTAAGAAGTCAGACCCGAGTTGTCTCTGTGAGCCTCCAGGAGGCAGCAGGGTGACGGATGCACACACACAGGCCAGAGGATGGTGTTTCTCTCTTTTATTTAAAAACAGTGCTTCATTACCATAGGCAAAGGCAGAGGCGGTGCTCCTCCTTCGCGTAGTTTATAAAAGCCAGCAACATGATCAATAATTTATACACATGGATAGTAATACAAAAAAATAAGGAATAAAAGCTAAAGATCTAACTACTCCGACCTTCACAATTCCAGCTACTTGATAATAATAGGAGTAACCCAATGAATACTGTATGGTCTGAAAGCTACTATACAATATGATTCTTAACGAGAAGGGGAGGGAATCAGAGACTGTCACAAGCCCTGGGGTGCTTCTCTGGAGTTCGCAGGGAAACAGGACCCTGGGCAAGCAGCTCGGGTGTCCTGGGAAGTGACTCTGGGAAGGGGAAAGGGAGGGAGAGAAGGCGAGGTGGTCAATTATACAAGCATCCCATGTGATGCCCCCGTGCCCCGAAGGTACCTGTTTTGCCATGGCAAGGGGAGGGGCCGGAGAAACGCATGTTGCGTGGAGGGATGGTTCAGTCCCTGCCACGGGGTGGGAGAGGAGAGGTTCTGTGGCATTTTCAGCCTTGCAAAGATTCGGACCGGAGAGTTCCGAGGCTCGGGCAGGCCAGCCTGGTGGGACAGTGACCCTGGTCTCGGCCCTCCGCAGCCCTAGCTTACGTGTCAGCCCCAGGTTTGCTCCAGCTTTACACAAGCAGAATTATAACACAAGAAAAACAATTCATATCCCTTAGGGAAGAAAGAAGATCAGTTCATCACTCGATATATAATACAGCCAAAATGAGCTGCCAAACAAGCACACACACACACACAAATACTGTGAACAGAAAAATAGAGGAAAATGACTAAGCTCGGAGTCTTGGTGGGGTACAGACACTGCTTAAAGCACTTAGTCCCCAGAAAAACCAAACCAAAAAACATTTTTTAAAAATTCAAAAACTCGTGGACCCCCGGGAATCTGGCGTTGGTGACAGGGACGGGGCGGGGAGAGGAGAAACACGCCCCTTTCTGCTGCCAGTGCGAACTGAGCCCCCCACCCCGGCGGCGTGGCCGGGGCCAGAGGCGGGCCCCTGCCTGGCAGTCTCCTTAAAGGCAAGGTTTCAGTGTTGGCTGATGAGCAGTTCTCTCAGTTACCAATCCCTGCCAACCAGCACCACCATGGCTGAAGTGATCGACCGTTTTCCTGAGTGAACTGTGACTGGCTACAGTGCTGGCAACGTGGACGAGAACTCGGCTACCACAGCCAACGCGGTACTCCAGCCTCCTCCACCCTCCGCCCTGCATGGGGTCCAGGAATCTGAGAGCCTGCTGTCGTCTGGTCTGCAGTCTTATTTTAAAGGCAGGTGCCAGGGACTCCGCCACATTCACTGAGCCAGAGGGCACGCGCTGGCGTAGGACACCCAGAGCCGCCTGGGGAAGGGCCCTGCTCCGTGCCCCCGTCTTGGATGGCTATGGCCTGCTCGATCAGTACAGCAAGCATGAAGGAAGTACACAGGAAAGAGGAAGGGAGGGAAGAGGCTTTTGGACAGTAACATTTCTTTTAAAAAAAAAAGTGTTTTATGCAACAGAGAATCAAGTTTCACTGGCGTACACGGCACATGGTCAAACGTTTTCAAGAGCATGACAAAATAAAAACACAAATTTACGTCTGATGCTCACCTTGCCACTATTATTTTCCTATCTTAAAACAGTGCAAACAGGTAACTTATGCTTTTAAAACACCACTACCCCTTCCCCACCCCCTAAAATCCCTTTCCTCCTGTTGCCTGGGGGAAATCTGCAATGTTACTGTGCTAGAGGGTTGCGGCAGCAGAGGTGGCTGGTCTGGGCAGAAGGGAGGGTCCAAACAGTGCCCCTTTCCCTCCTTACATGTCGAGGGCCTTCCAGACTGTCCCTCACTTGGCCTTGTTCTCCTGCTGGAGGGAAGGGGGCTATCAAGCCCTTCTCGAAGATCCTTGGAGTTGTTTCCATCCCAAGGTTCTGCCTCCTTCCTACCCAGAAGCCACGTGACTAGTCGCAGGGTGATGGCGACTCACCGACCTCTGCTGCATCTCTAGGAAAAGTAAGACCTAGACTAGGAGCAAGCAGTTCAGCCCCTGAGGAGTCGCATTTTGGAGGAAAAGCTGCTGTCATTTATTTATGTCTATGAACAGATCTCCACTAGCTCCCCTTAAACGAAGATTTGAGCCCCAGTCCCTTTCTTTTTCAAGGAAAAATAAAAGTGGCTCAATTCTGACTGTGGCTATTAGAGGAGGATGGTGATGGTAGGTTTTGTAAAACCTGAGTCTTAAAAATGATGAATCACCATGGCTGATCCGGGTCGATGGGAGCTGAACTATGTAATACAAGGGATTCCGGAAAAGACCTAAGGACAGCTCTCTGGGCTGAAAGAGGCATATTCAGGTAAAGATGTCCACTAGAGGTCTCCTTAAAGGAGCCCAGCTTCTAAGAGTAAGATGCGTAGTATAGAAAGTCCACGTCATGAGCTACAGTGAAGCTGATGCAATCATTCCTGTACTGTGACTCAGCACCAGGAAGTTATTTTGGAATTATCAACCAGCACCCTCTAACGAACTCACAAGATGCAAACTCTTCTGACTGTTGCTGAGTCCGGTACTTTGAGAAGCCTGCCTCTGCCGTCAGGGAGGTCAAAGATGGCAGGGAGGTCAGTGCCATCAAACCCAGGTGTTTCCGAGCCCTGCTTCTCAGTGCTGACGTGGGAGCCCAAGGCCCTTTAGTGAAAAGCAGAACTCTCGCCCTCTCAGGAGAGGGGGCTGGAGGAAGCAGTATGGACAGACCCCTGGAGGTATAGCAGAAGCCCACCGGGAAGCACGGAGCTTGCCCTTGGATTCCTCAGCCAGAACCAGCTGAGCTGAATGCACGAAAGGTACCTCACTCTCAAGCTTCTGCCTCTTTCAAAGGGGCTGTGGAAGCTGCCTTCTCTCCCTCCCATCACCTGCTGTCCTGGAGAAAAGGGAAGGCTCTCAAACGCGCTGCCCTACTCTGCTCCCTGCCGCGGACAGAACCGTGGAGAGTGATCTGTCCCCACCGAGCGCTGTCTTGCCATTTTGTGCGAATGGCCCCTCTTAGAACATGACACAAAATTTCTGTTTCTTTAGTCAGTAAAAGCTCTCCCTCAAAACAAAAGCAAAAGCAAAAAAATCCTCCCTGCCCCCATTCCCCACTCCCATCCCCCCACCTCTAACTAAAATATTTATATACATACAACAAAAATTGTCTTAACAGCAACAAACCAAACTTTGGCTTGGGGAGGGGAATCCTAACAAGTGGCCAGTGGATGGCAGTCTGGTGTCCCGTTCTACACCCTGCTCCCCAGAGTCAACAACTGCGTCGAGGCTCTAGCCTCCTGGACCTCAGCCTCTGCCAGGTGCCCGGAGAGGGATCCGAGGAGGAGATGCGCCACACCCGGCAGGCCGGGCTCTCCCAGATATGTTCCTCTGCTTACAAAGAACGCTTGATGCTGTCGTATGTCAGTCATTTTAATTCAGGGACATGAATCGGTTATCAGTCAAGAACATGCGTGGAGGCAGGAATAAAAAAAAAAACAAACCAAACTCATAACAAACCAGAAGTTCCATGTCTCTGAATTACTCCCTTTGTCAGCTACCCCGTGGGTGAAAGGTCACCCAGAACCACTGTGAAGAGCCCAGGCAGCCAAGCAGACCATGCTTCTCTATGTCCTAATGCCTTCATTTTGGAACTGCTGCAGGACCCTTGCTGGTACGATTAACAGCTAGCAGCCAGAAGAGAAACACCGTCTTCCCTACCTTGACAATCTAGAGAAAGCTGGAGCCAGGCAGCAGCAGCGCCTCACTGCTGGGCCGGCACAGACCCCGGCCACCGCAGCCCCTCCTTCCAGCACGGAGCAGAGCAGCCTCAGGGCTTCGCACTCTGGGTCCGTAGTGTTTGTGCATACCAAGTGGTCCAGGTGCTCAGCTGGGTGTCTTTGGAGGGTAATGAGAAGCTGGGTGGAGGGGCCACGGGGGCTCAAGACTGGAAGGAGACGCCCTCACAAGGGCTCGGGACGATGAACATTCCTATGGCTTTGGAGCTAGTGCAAAGTGCCTCTGCTGCCCTGGCACGCCCTCATCGCCGCCCTTCCAGGGACGGGAGGCCCAGGGCTCCGCGCCGTCTCTTTTGCAAAGAGTCTTCACTCTTTCTTATACCTTGCACGGACTTTCTGATGGAGAGGAGGATCGGGAGGGTCGGAGAGCTTTGCCAGACACTGATGTCCTCTCCCTTCTCTGTACCGGCTCTTGACAATTTGTACTTCATCCTCAAGCCATGCCCAGGAGGAAGTCTGGCCACTGGCTATTTATTTATTCTTCTGTCCCTGGGTCCTAAATTCCTGAATCTTGAGGACATGGGGCAGGGTGTTAATAAAAGGACAGATGAGCTAAGCTGTGGTTCAATGAAAAGGGAAGCCCAGCAGGAATGCTAGGATGGCAAGAAAGAAAAGAACCTTTTTCATACTCTAGATTTCATTCTGAGACTGGTTTCCTAATGAGGTGTTTATTATCCACAGGCTGAGAGCATATTTGGAAATATTAATACTATAATTCCAAAAACTGCCAACTGTCTCAGGCTGTGCATGTAAGATGATTGTAAAAAGAATGGAGAAGACAAGAGGGAAGAGGAGAGGAAAGTGTCTTTTTAATTTTCCTGCTTTGCAAACACAAATTCCTATCATCTATCAGCATGTGGATTCCAGCCACAGCCAATCAGAATTGCCTGCCAAAGACCAGAAACTCAGAAGACTAGAAAGATATCCTGCTGCAGAAAGATCTCTTCCACCTCTGCTCAGCCGAGCCGGTCAGCACCAGACACACTTTGGTAATTCTGTCTGATTTCTGATCAGATGCACTTCTCAGCTCCTCATGTCTCTCCTCCCTCGTTAACTGCCTCTCCGTGACTGACAGAATAAGCTAAGCATGGACATACAGACATGGAAATGCATTTTTTTTTTTTACCACAGTTAAAAAAAAAGAGAAAAAAAAAAAAAAAGAAAGAAAAAAAATGCACAATCTTTGGAACAAAAGAATTAAAGGCAGAAATTTAAAGGAAAAATACATATTCAAAGAACATAGTGAGGTATAAAAAAGTATTCTCTCTTTTTTTGTGTATTTTTTTTGTTTTGTTTTGTTTTGTTTGTTTTTCCTCTTCATCTTGCTATAGAGTTCCTCTACTAGTAAATATTGCAATAGCCAGGCCTCATGAACTGGGGGGCTGTCCCATTTGCAGGGGTCTCACGTCACTTCAGTAGGGGGCAAATCGGCTGTAGCCACCTCGGTATAAACTCGCCTGTAGTAATTAAAGACATAAAAATAATTAAAAGGTTAATGGGAGAAGCATTAAAAATGAAAAATATTCTGAGAAGGGATTTGGGAAAACAGCTTCCTTAGAAGCTTCAGAGCAGCTCCTTAGGTGCTGCCCGGGCCGTGGGGTCAGGAAGCCCACCTCTGCCCCCAGGATGCTCTGACCAGAGCCAGGAGGCTCACTGCTGACCTGACCCCAGAAACAGGGCGTGCTAGTGGCTCCTTTTGTTATTTATACGAGCTAGCACAGAAGGGAAAGTCAATATAGTTCAAAACCAGGCCTGTATACAGTCTGATTTTAAAAGCATGGGTCTTTGTTTACCTTGATTACATCATTACAATCATGAGCTTCTTACACATTACCTGACAGTGGAGAACATACCACTTTGGATACTATCTCTGTCATAGTCCACCTTTAAATAGTGTTGGATTCAAACCTGAGTCAACCTTTCAACTAATACAGCCTAGTTCCCCCATAATCTATAAAATACACCAGCAGTAAGTTATTTCTTGACTTATCTGAATTTACATGTATATACAACTGGGGTTTTAACTGGGCTTTAGTCCTTTGTTTTTGGTTTATCTAATGGCTTCTCTTTTTCAAATAAAATATCTCTAGGAACACAGTTCTCTTTGGGTTATTGTTTTAGTATAGGACTTTTATCATGTTGGCACTAGATAAAACCTTAGGAACTTCATCACTTTCTTTATATTGTATGTCTCTACCTCAATTCTAAACATACATTTCCCCACCCCTGCCCAGGACCCTGATACTCCCTCCCACAAATCTTCATCAGTAGAAAGTCAGTGTGCCAATGACAGGCTCGCTCGTTTTCCTTGTCTTAACCCTGACCCATCGTTCCGCCTCCGCCGCAGCCTGGACCGCAGAGGATTGTTGGCACCAGAAGGCGTGCTGGCGCGAGTGAGGCCCAATCACTGGACCCGGAGGTGTCCAGGCCGACACAAAAACACTGTGGTGAGGACTACAGTTTGGTTCGGGGGGCTCTTCTAGAAGAGCCCATACTTCTATGAAAACACCATATTTTGTAACAGATGTTACTAACAGAATATCTCCGTAAGGTGTTCGCCTGGTAATTTCTAGTACTACCCACCAGAAGCTTAAGAATAGCAGGAACAGCCTTTGGCATCTGCATTTGAGACTCACAAAATTAAGGGGTTTTTTTTGGAAAAGCTTACTGTGAAAATTGGAGTCTTATGCCCTGAAGTCTTTGCTAACACCCATCAATAAGACTATGCCACAGGTGTGGATCCAACATTCGAGCCAAATAAAAGATCAACCTATTCCCTTCCTTCACTCGCAAACAATGCCATTCCTCAGGACAGACCGTCATTCGTCCCTGTCCTGCTGTCCTTAACCAAGCCGTGTGGCTCGCACCAGAACACCGGGAAAGAAGGTAATAGGAAATGTCCAGCTAGTCCTATGTGGTTTAATACTCTGGCGATGGAAGAAGGGCTACATTTACTACCTCCCTAGATCTTCTTTTTTTTCTGTGGGTAAAAGCTAGAAGGAGTAAAATGTTTTTTAAAAATTGCACATATACTTACCACAGCGCCAACTCCATAGCTAGCGGCAGGGGCAAGGGCATGGTAGGGGTCAGCGGTGTACACCCTGCCATAACTGGAAAGAAGAAATACAATCAGGGAGAGAAAGGAAAGACAGTGATCCCCCAAACGTAAGGGTTTACTGTGTGAAGGACTTGTGAGTGACTTGGTCTTAGAACATGATTAGGAAACTGGCAGATTGGGAAAAAAAATCACGTTTTGATTTCCACTCCTAAAAGCAGTGCTCCAAAAATTCTGAAGTCTTCTCTACAATGGAAAAGAAGGGAGTTGGAGATGACAAAGAGGAACACTGGGCTCCAGGAAGTCGTGACAGAGGCCATGAGAAGGCCAGGTCTGCGGGCAGCCCCAGGCACAGGTGCCGTGTGGAAGCGGGGCGGGCAGAGGCGGCGACACGCGGACGGTACGTACCCGTCGCTGTAAGCGGCGGCAGCGGCGGCAGCAGCCGTGGCTGCGGTTGCAGTAGCAGGCTGTGCATATCTGTAGGCTGCATATCCACCCTACAGGAGACAAGAGAACTGACTTTACAGCTACCTCTCCCCCCAGAAAACACAGATGAACACACACACACCCACACACAGACAGACAGACACAGGGAGACACAAACACAGACACACACATGGGAAGAGGATGTTTCAAACTGCATCAGTCTACATGTTACTCCTCCGGAGCAAGAGGAAGCTCATCCAGTGCAGGGACTTGCTTTCCAATTTAAGAAATGAAGATATATGAGTTTTGATCGGTCTTACTCCAGTCTCTGCTGGAACTTTCAACAGGGGAAATTTGGGAGAACTGTGACTGACAGGAAGTATGAATTATAGAATGCAAACATAAAATTTATATGTGTTAACGTCAGCTTCCCTGGTGTGTACTCACATTGATTTGTTGCTAAGAGACTACAGTGTATAACAAAGACCCATACAGAGCTATGCTCAATCGACCGAGTATGTTTGTTAAAAGGCTAAGATAGGCACTGTTTAGAAGGAAAAACCAGGGTAGATCAGAGGTCGGCAACCTTCAGCCTGTGAGCCACTGTTAACTTGCTACCTGTTTCTGAAAGCAATTGTGACAGAGACCATATGGCCTACAAAATCAAAAATATTTACCACTTGGCCCTTTACAGAAAAAGCCTGCTAACTCCAATCTGTACTTCAGACTCAGGCAAGTCAGGCTACCAATGGCTGACACCCATCTGGCTGGATTGAAACAGATGAAGAATCCCCCACCCCAAGCATTTAACTGCATTTATTGTCCTTCCCTAAGATTCTGGATTCACACCTCGTGGTCGCACAGCAGGCTGGGGAGCTTTGTTTCCAGTGGCTCAGATGTCCGCTCAGTCCCAAGGAGTTTCAAATGCTCACATCCTATTATTCCGCCTCAGTTTAGTGCTGGGAAGGTTTTCAGTGTCGGGGTGAAGCACGTGCACTCCAGAAAGTAGTTCCAAAGGAACCACACAAATGCCACGCGAGGCAGGCTATTTCCAAGTGGCAAGCCCTACCTTTTGTTTCTTCTTTACCCTTCTAGAATGCACCTGTTTTGTCTAAATGTAATTCAGGTGTGAGTTTTTATTATTGCCTTTCCCTATCAAATATAACTATGCTCACCTGGCCCATGTTGACACTATTCGGGAGTGAAAGGCAGCACATTCTGTTTCTGCAGGTCAGTGTGTCCATTTCTCACGGACATCTGAGACTTTCTGCCCGGTGCTTTCTACTTTCCATTCCCTCAAATGCCCAAGTTTTGCTAAATCTACGTAAGAAATTTCACAGTTCCTTCTGTATCACTTCTTAGGATCAATAACAAGTCTTTTCCAATGGGACTCTTGCTCTTCTTAGCCATCCGATGTGGCAGCTTCCAGCTTGCTGTTTTTATTTCTGTTCAAATCTTATTTTAAAAATATGTGTAATTTCTTACAGGATGCTTCCTTCTTAGCTAACGCGTGCTTTCTCTACTGAAGAAACTGCACTGTGGAAGAAAACTTACTCTTGCTCTTTATCTTCAAATGTGAGTTCCGTAAACCCTTGATTGGCTTTCAGTGGTTACATGTTATTCCTTCTTTGTTCTTCAAGGGAATGACTGAGAAAACCAAACATTTCTTTCTCAATAACAAATTCTTCTACAGATATTCATATAAATAAGAAAATCCTTATTAGTATTAGCAAACACTGGCATTGAGCTGGCAACGACGGGGCAGCATCCACAGGGGCAGTTTTCGATCAACAGGTTTCCTTCATTCTAGTCAGTTCTGTGGCAGTGGGCAGGCCGGACCAGTGTGGGCAAAGCTGTACACTCCGGCTGCTACCTATACATGTACAAGTTACGTAACTTATAAACTAACGGCAGTTTCTCTTTATTTCTTTTGTAAACTTCTAAAGAGGAAATAAAGCAGTAAAAGCACTTGTTAAACAAAGCTACAAACTAATAAACATTGTTGGAATGTTAGGCTTTAAATGAACCTTAAAGGCTCAGTGTTTCATTACAACAGGAGATGGATCCATCCATTCAGAATTAACGTTTGCTACCGTGAAGTCTGTAGCAGGGTCACCTTTGGTTAACACTCGCTCGTAAACCAGGACAATGTAAACAAGCGTGACGTGGTGTGTCTCTAGGATGCCCTCAAACACCAAAATAATCTTTAAAAAATGTAAAAGTCAAGGTAATAAAAACAGTTAAAGCCCAATATTTGTTTACTTGAGTAGAATCTTTAAAAACGGAAGTTCTGCCCTGGCCAGTTTGGCTCAGCGGTTAGAACGTCAGCCAACGGTCCCGAGAGACCCGGGTTCAGTTCCTGCTAAGGGCACGTACCTCGGTTGCAGTTTGTCCCCGGCCCTGGTTAGTCGAGTGGGTGGCAGCCACTCGATGTGTCCCTTTCACGTCGATGTTTCTCTCTCTCTCTTCCTCCCACTCTATCTGAACGAAACATGGAAAAATGTCCTCAGGTGAGGATAAAAACCAAAACGGAAGTTCTATGCCACAGGGCTCACAAGTACTGTAAGGAAATCTCACTAAGATGGGGATACTGGAGAGTATATCATATCATACAGCTCTGAGCTGTACTGCACTATTTCTGGAAAAAAACCCTCTGAATGAGGTTCCCGATAGAACCATTTCTTCTGCTCCCTTTCCTCAGCCGCTGGACACCATCAGAACCTCAATGTTTTGGGGTAATGTTACTGTTAATCAAAAGACATCAGACTGTGGGAAAGAAGCTTCCTTCTAAGCCAGAAGGAAGCAGACAGAATCGATCTGCAGTAGTTTCCTTCTATGATAAGTGACTTTAGAGTTTGAATTTGATGCTCTATGCTATTCAATTTCAGGAAAACAGGGCAGGGGTGTAAATATTTTATTGACAAGAAAAGGCTCAAGAAGAGTATTAACATTAAGAAAAACTACATTAATGTTTTCTTTTAAAACATAACATTTCAACATCACTACTCTCCTAATTACTTTATGATAATGGTGTTACTGAGAGGTCTTTTAAAGGGGTCTATGTGTAGGATGGGCAGGTAATATCCTAATAAACAAATTTGGTAATTCATTGATTCCTACCCCCACATTAGAAAAATTAAATTGTATATCATGGATTTACTATTCTTAGAGGTAGTCTTACTTTAAAGTTTTTCTGCTCCTGCTTTAAATTGGTTATTGAACAAAATACATCATATAAAACAGGACAAGGAAAATTCAGATATATTTATTTTTATTCCAAATTAGGAATGCATCCAGATTCCAGGCTGAGAAACTTTTCTCAATTTCACTTCTATTAGCAAATCTGAAGTCTTTTATAGAACATGAGAACAAAGTGCAGTTTGAAACACCAAGGTTTTCATTACTGTCTCTTAAGTTTTTCAAAAAGAACAAGGGTGGGGAAGTGGGTAGAAGAGACAGGGTTCAGGCGTGGGGAGGGGATATGGCGCCACATTTATTAATCACATTAAAAACTAAGCATGCCAACATCTGGAGCTAAAACAACCAGCAAAATCACCACGTTCAGACTCAGATTGGCTAACTCTATCTATCCCAGCATTCTCTTGGGACAGCGGTTTGCCCTAGGCTCTACCACAAGCTCGGTGAAGTACACAGCCTCAATTACTAGAGCGTGCAGCCACAACGACCTGGTATTACGGAAACAGTCAGTCACCACTTGAGTTAACATTCCATACCCTAACGACTGGCCCCTCCCCAGCCCAAAGAAAAAGGAAATCTTGCCCACCCTAGCCCTGGCCCACACCACAATGTTAATAATTATAACAAGCAGTAACCCATCTGTTATATCAGAGAAGGGAACAGAGACTCCACTGAGAGATTTAGAGTGAGATGTTAACATTTCTTCAGCTGACTGCACAAACAAACAAACAAAAAAAAGAGGAGAAATAATTCATTTGGAGATATGAAGTCATGAAATAGCTGATGTGTATTGCTTTTAACCATGCACTGATGCAAAACTGAAGCAACCATTAATAATAAAAATTAAAAAGGACATATGTATTTACACACAATCAGACCTGTTTGATCTGAAGCAGTTTGCAGATTCTATCTGTGTGTGATTTGAAATAAAACAAAAAATGGGGATTAGCATGGCCACAGCACACCCTAATGTAGGAGGGCACACACGGACAGCTTTTGGAACCCTGATTGCTGGATAAATTTGGCATGGCTAAGCCTGATCCAAATATACACATGCCCCCTTAAAAATAATTATTTTCTCATTCCTCTGCAATTCATTCTGAATGACTCCTAGTGTTCCCAGTGAGGGCAGCCCCATGCTACACACTGCCCTGTCCAGCCTTCCTGGCCCTGACAACATGCCTCAGTCCAGAGCTGCGGCACAGCCCTCACGTGTATGCTTGCCCTCTGTCAACACCCAGACATTCTGATCCAGTGTTCTCCTAAAATATTTCCTGTTTAAGCACTGTATCATTACACATAGCCATAATGTATCTTTGCCTTCAAATTCCAGCTTTTTCAAAGGAAAATGCTGTTACCTTTAAGATCCTTTTGTTGTTGTTAAAAATCTCAGTTTTCCATGGCTCAAAGTCACCTGGTAGGGATTTTCTACTGTACTCAATCTAATTTATCATCTAATTAACTTGATAGCATTGCCACAATGACCACATGATTTTCTGTACAGTTCTGCAGCTGTGTTTTAAACTAGACAAAATGGAGGAATTCTACGTATCGTCCCTCCTGTATCTGACCTTTATCTGCCACTCTATTCGTTTAATCTCACACTGGCAGATTTCCCCTTGTTTTGATTTTCACCTAGCCTTTAATTTTATTATATTTTGTTTTGGGTTTACATTAAAACAGGACTTTGGTGAGCATGTGATGTCAAGACACCTTCGTTCTACCTGGAAGACAATGACATTATGTGACAGTGAGGAGAAGAGTGTGTATTTCAAGACCAGCAGACAAATGAGAGCTTGTTCCCTCTATGTGGTGCACAGATTCAGAAAGCAGGAGGGGCGGGCAGGTGTGTGGGGGGACGGCAGGTGCAGTG